ACTACTGAACTGATAAGATAAGAACACTGAATAGATAAGACTCTTACTAATCCCTACTACTGAAAGCAGATAAGGCAAGAATACTGAATAGATAAGATAGGATGAGAACACTAAATTGCTGCTGCTGCACTAAATTACTGCTGCTGCTGCCGGCGTCCACATCAAAGGGCTTGCTTACATGGCTTTCTAGAGCGAATTTCAATTTATGTATAATTGCATTTGAGCTCTGCACTTATCCCCCTCTCTTGTCTAACTTTGGTCTGTGTTTCCCATCACCTATTGTTTGGTAGAGAACTCAGGCTGCATCAAATACCATACCGATATCTTGCAAATGTAGTTGGACTGAATCTGGTCTAGGTACATAACTTTAAACCAACCAAATGGAAGCATTAGTATCTCCCCGCCTAAGATTTTGTTTGTGGTCGTTTTTAATGTATTTTTCCTTTTCTGACGTATTTTATTTATCTGGGTCCAGGGCTCATTTTCTAGGAGTTTCGTTTGGCTTTTTCATGCTCAGACAAGTGGGACAAACAAAATTCTCTTTGATTCAGTTACTGATTATAAAAGCCCTAGCTTTACTATGACTTTATGCACACACTTCATATTAACCACCAGTCAGGAAACTTATCTGTTTCTTTCCAAAGCTACTTCAGAATAATAGGAAGGTTCTGGAGCATTGGTAGGAATATTTTAGCCTAGTTTACTTATTAAATTTTTTGTTGGTTTAATTACTAAAACAAGACATTGGCAATGTAGTGGATATTCTTTTGGTTTGAACTGAATATTAGAATGTGCTTCAACTTTTGTACATGGATACACTATTGACTTTTTGTTCCGTATTACTTAGGGTACACCGTGCAGGACCACGGAAACAGATATACTTTGAACCTGAGAAAGTAAATGCTGGAATTGTCACTTGTGGTGGGCTCTGTCCTGGTCTTAATGATGTCATTAGACAGGTTTGGCAAGCATGACTTTGTTGACCCTGTACTTTTTTTCTCAGTAAAGTTGTATATTTGTACATTCAATTTCATGTGTGAGACAGGCTAGGGAGGAGATGTAGATGTCTATTGCAAGAGATCTATCACTGTGAAAAACAATGCTAGTCGATTGAACCATGCCTGCATAAAATGGCTTTGGTTTAGATCACCTTCATCTGTTCTTGAGAGGTTTCCTAAGATATAAAATTTTGGGGCCTCATCAGTTTTATCAAAAGCCTTTTTCAATAGAAAACCACGTTTAATTAATTTCTAGTAGGAGTACAATATATGGTATTGTGATCATGTGTTGTTTTTTCATGGGAAATTGATCTTGTAGTACTCAGATCACCATTGTCATAGACAGATCAGTCAGATTGTTCAGACTGGGAACCAGCAACCAAAATGGTTCTTGGGATGCCTGGTTCTTAGAAATGTTTGACTTGGTCAAATTTCCCAAATACATGCCAGTAGGTGTTATACATATATTGCTTTAAGCTTATTTTGGTGCAAAATAGTTTTAAAAGATAATCTGGAACCATTTACTATTTTTCTAATTTTGTACATTTGTGGTCTTTTTATTGTTTTGAGGGAATTGAACAGTTGACCAGACAATCTAGCTGTTCAACCTGTGACCCAGTGGCTAAAACAATTACGTCCAATCTGAGTTTGGAAAATGGTATCACTTGGACTTTAAATGGTCATCCTTAAGCAGATTATATAGACAGAAGCTTTTAGGGATCAAGACCCAACATTGAGGAGTCCAACTGAGAAAAGCTATGGGACAATGATCATGTGATGACAACCACATGCTTTTAGTATATTCTTCTTGACCAGATGCAAAGAATATGATATATTTTCAGGAAAAAGAATGCCACAAATAATTATTAAATACTAACTGATCACAAGATCTTTGAATTGGACAATATTCATTGCTAGGACCCATTAACTGATGTATCTTTATATGCTTCACATGAGATGCATGTTGAGATATTGTCTTAAGAATAGAAATTAGAGCTTTGACTCCTAGATTCAAGAGTATCCTCAACCTACCCTTATTGCCTACATTATCTCCTGAAAAGTTTGGAAGTACAACAAATGAGCTTTAATTAATCACTCATACATGCAGAGCATTCTAATCCATGGACTTTTTTTTTCTTGAGATATGCTACACTGTTGGACAAAAGACCTAATACTACATTTCATGATAGTGCAGATAGTTTTTACTCTTGAACTATATGGGGTTAAGAAGATAATTGGGATTCCATTTGGGTATCGTGGATTTTTTGATCAAGGATTACCTGAAATACCAGTGAGAAGTTCTTCCTTGACTGCTTGACATCATATTGTTAGTCCCACCCTTTTCATTTATGAACTTAAAGTTGTATTTTATTTTTTCCCAGCTTTCCCGCAATGTAGTTCAAAACATTAATCTTGCTGGTGGAAGCTTATTAGGGGTTTCTCGTGGGGGTGCTAATGTCAGTGAGATTGTAGATAGCATACAGGTACAATATGATATAACATATTTTCTAATTAGCAAGTTTTGTTCAGTCAACCTTGTCATGCTTACATCATATTGGTAGTATTCATTATAAACTAAGTGATGAATTTAGGCCAGGGGAATTGACATGCTTTTCATACTTGGTGGAAATGGCACTCATGCAGGAGCAAATGCAATACACAATGAGGTAATATTATCTGTTTCATTTGTAATTTCAGAAAGCAGAACTACTTTTATGAGGATAATGTTACTTTTTTGAAGCCTAGAATATGTTACTTCAGTAACATTGTTTACAGAAGAGTTTCTTTTGTATCTAATTCCTTCCGAAGACTATCAAATACTACTATTTTCCAACTAGGTATATGTTGGAAAAATGTCTCTATTAGGACTGTAGGATCAGGTTGGGTATATCTAGATATGAATTCAATCCATTAATACACAGACTTGATTCATATTGAATAATTTCTCAACAATATCAGCCAAAATGACTTCAAGAGACTTGACAGTTGAAACTACAACTAATTCATGCATATATTTTTCAAAAATAACGAGTTATGTTGTACACATGGCAAGGAATTTTAGGCTCTAATTTGTCATATTAAGGGTTCATTTGTATTGGTCGCTCAGCCTTTCTCAATATTGAGTGTCGTACTGCATATTTATTTTTTATATGTTCAAACTCTTCTGACATATACAGAATAGGGATTATGGTCCAATAAAGGGTGTCCCCTGCATCATCCGTCTAGCTATCATTTAACCTTTTGGTTTCCAAATCATTATATTTATAAGAACATAAAAACGTATACCTTGATTTTGCAATATAATGGTGTGACTCCTCTATTTCTTTCTTTGCACACAGTGCCATAAGAGAAAGATGAAAGTATCTGTTGTTTGTGTCCCAAAAACAATTGATAATGATATACTTCTAATGGATAAGACATTTGGATTTGATACTTCTGTAGAAGAAGCTCAACGAGCAATCAATTCTGCATATATCGAGGTAAAAAGGATAGTTATGTTTGCCTAATACCTAGCTTCTTTGTAACTTTCTAGATTGTAGACTAGAGGAGAGTTTACTTCTCTATATCTTGCACTAGCTGGAGAAATTTTTAATTGATTTCTCTCCAATGCCTACAGGCACATAGTGCATATCATGGCATTGGCCTGGTAAAATTAATGGGAAGAAGCAGTGGTTTTATAGCCATGCATGCATCACTTTCTAGTGGACAGATTGACGTCTGTTTGATTCCTGAGGTGTGTATCATTTATGATCTGTACTCTCTCTCTCTCTCTCTCTCTCTCTCACACACACACATACACACAACATACACATGCCATACTATTTTCATGGGGATAACTTTCTTAGTAATCCAAGTGCAGGTTCCATTTAAGTTAGATGGACCTTATGGTGTCTTGCAACATTTAGAGCATCTCATAGAGACAAAAGGGTCAGCAGTGGTTTGTGTGGCTGAAGGAGCAGGACAAGTAAGTGAATTATATAAGCATCTCCTAACAAGGTCCACTAGCAGAGTAGACTAAAAATTGTGTACTATCTTTGTTACTTCTAACATATTATCATATGGATTCCTACTAGAATCCTTGGCACATTGGTTACTAAAAATTGTATGTATTCTGTATTGGGCCCATGTCTCAGGAAAAATAATCAAGGTGAGTAGTATGATACCTAATACTATAGTCCTCAAAGTCTGAACTACTTTGATAATTGTTATGGATGCTCCTTGTGCCTAGATACCTGTTCTACAACATATACCACTTATCTCCTTGGTTCATTTTCTGTTTGAAACACATAAAGTACCCACAACTTGGTTTAGATTGGTAGATAACTGTTGCCGGTCAAAATGGGCTGAGGGCAACACTGTCAATTTGCTCCTAAGTCGAGGTGTGGTCGAGCAGTCCAAGGCCTGAAGTGGCCGAGGGTTGGTAGGCCTGTCCTGCGAGGAGTGAAGAAAGGAGAACGTCAGAGGCCCCGGGTTTGTACCCGAGGCGGAGACTCCGACGGTCAAGTTAATACGAGTGCGATGCAAAGTGGACGAGGCCTGAGGTGTGAACACTCAGATGAGGCCACAAAGGAGACTAAGAGTTATAAAGTTTATGTTCTTGATTCTGTAGGGACCTTCTCAGTTAGAGCCGAGCTTGCCTACACCGGGCTCGGGCACCATGACTTTTCTAAGGATGAGGTCTCCTTCTCTGTAGTGTCTCTCTTTCACCCTTAAGTTATAGTAGTGAGCCACCCTCTACTGGTAGGCTGCCACTCTGACATGTGCCTGTTCTCAAACTTCTTCAAGAAGGTTTATGTTGGTTCTGAGCTCTTCGTTGTTCTTGGCTTCACTGTACGGTTCGATTCGAAGCGTTGGCTGGTCGATCTCTGCTGGGATGATGGCCTCGGTGCCATAAGTTAGGTTGAATGGGCTCTCTCCCGTGGCTATCCGAGGTGTCGTCCAATAGGCCCATAGGATGCTGTTCAGTTCATCGGCCCAGAGGCCTTTGGCTCTATCGAGTCTGGTTCAATCCTTCTAGGATAGTCCGGTTGGTGACCTTGGCTAGGCCGTTAGTCTGAGGGTAGCCTACCGAGGTGTATTGCTGCTTGATGCCGAGAGAGGCACACCATTCTTGGAACCTTGCATCGTCGAACTACTTCCTATTGTCGGTGACTAGCATGTGGGGGAGACCGAAGTGGCAGATGATGTTCTTCCAGAAGAAGTTTTGTATCATTTTGGCCGTGATGGTAGCTAGGGGCTCGACTTCGACCCATTTGGTGAAGTAGTCGATGGCGACGGCGAGGTATTTTCCGTTTCCTGTGGCTTGAGGGAAGGGGCCGAGGAGATCCATGCCCCACTTGGCAAAGGGCCAAGGGCTGTTGAGGGCCGACAAGGTTGTGGCTGGTCGGTGGGAGATGTTGGAGTGTCTCTGATATCGGTCGCATTTTCGAGCAAAGTGTAATGGGCGGCCTGTCGTCGGATTTGTAATGGGCAGCCTGTCGTCGGATTTGTCTAGCTTGGTTTCTGTCATCTGGCAGTTGTTCGGTTAGGAGGAAGGCCATGATGGGATCCATCTAGGACAGCTTAGCTTGTACTGGGAGGATTTGAACTTCTTCAATGGAGGGCTGAGCTAACTTCTCCACGTGGACGGTGCGACCGAGGGCTACGCCTGAGGTGCTTGCTAATTTTGATAGGGCGTCAGCTCTCATGTTCTCGGATCGCGGGACTTGCTGCAGGGAGAAGTGTTGGAAGTGGCGAGCGAGCTCTTGCACTTTGGCTAGGTACTTGGTCATGCTCTTCTCCATGGCCTCGTACTCACCATTGACTTGATTCACTACCAATTGGGAGTTGCTGAAGACCTTAATGTCTTGTGAGCCGAGGTCTTTCGCGAGTTGTAATCCTGCGAGGAGGGCTTCATACTCGACCTCATTGTTGGATGCCAAGAAGTTGAACATCAACGCGTACTCTACTTCGGCGTTGTATGGGGTGAAGAGTATGAGGCTGGCTCCACTTCCCTTGGAGTTGGATGATCCATCGACAAACAACTTCCAGGTAGGTCGAGCTCCTTCAGCCGGCCCTTTCTTCCTCTTCTTCTTCTGGGGCTTGGCAAAGGGCTCGACTGAAGGTGCACTCTGCCATGAAGTCAGCTAGGGCTTGTGCTTTGATTGCGGGCCTCGGTTGGTATTGCAGATCGAACTCAGACAGCTCGACAACCCACTTGATTAGTCATCCCGAGGCCTCAAGCTTGGTGAGGACGGCTTTGAGGGGTTGATTGGTCAGGACCGTGATGGTGTGAGACTGTGAGCTTGAAAATATGGCCTGAGCTTCCTAGCCGAGACCACTAAGGCGAAGGCCAGTTTCTCCACTTTGGGATATCGGGTCTCGGCATCGTAGAGAACCTTACTAACATAGTAGATTGGCATCTGTACTCCATCTTCTCTAATCAACATCGAACTGATGGCCTCGTCCCCGGCCGAGAGGTATAGGTACAACACGTTCCCTGGGAGTGGCCGAGTGAGGAGGGGAGGCAAGGCGAGGTAGGACTTTAGCTCTTCAAAAGTGTGCTGGCACTCTTCCGTCCATTAAAAGTTCTTCAGTTTCTTGATGGCTCGGAAGAAGGGCAGACAACAGTCGGCCGACTTCGACATGAAGCGGTTGAGGGCAGCCACTCGGCTGGTAAGTCTTTGGGTTTCCTTGACCGACCGAGGTGGTGCCATATCCAAGATAGCTCGGATCTTCTCTAGGTTGGCCTCTATACCTCGCTGCATGACGACGAAGCCTAGGAACTTGCTTGATGTGATGCCGAAGGCACACTTGCTGGGGTTGAGCTTCATGTTGTATCTCCGCAAGGTGTCAAAGATCTCGGCCAGGTCAGAGGTGTGTTGGTCGGCTTTCAGGCTTTTCACCACCATGTCATCCACGTAGGCTTCGATGTTTCTCCCCATCTGGTGTTTGAAAACTTTGTTTACGAGGTGCTGGTAAGTGGCCCTAGCGTTCTTGAGGCCGAAGGTCATGACCTTGTAACAATATGTGTCGTGCTCGGTGATGAATGAGGTCTTCTCTTCGTCCTCGGGGTGCATCTTGATCTGGTTGTATCCGGAGAAGGCATCCATGAAGCTAAGTAGCCCGTACCCTACGGTGGCGTCGACGAGGTGGTCTATCCTCGACAAAGGAAAACTGTCTTTGGGGTAAGCTCAGTTGAGGTCTGTGAAGTCAATACAGATCCGCTATTTCCCATTAGCTTTCTTTACCATAACCACATTTGACAACCAATTAGGGTAATGTACCTTTTGAATGAAGTGACATCGAGTAGCTTGTCAACTTCCTCTCCTATAGCCTTCCATTGCTCCGGTGCAAAGTTCCTCTTTCTTTTTTTTTTATCAATAACAACATATTTCATTAAATAAAATAAGGTTACAAAAAAAGGGGAGCTAAAGAATCTTAACTCCCCAAGGAAAGGATAAATCCCAAGCTGAAATTGAATAAAACAATTACAACTGAGCCTAGAACCCAGAAATCCTATTCACTCCTTGCCTAGCCAGACCATCAGTAAACAAGTTTGCACTTCTCTTAACCCAATTACACTAAACTTCCATATTCTTAGACAACCATTTGAATTTCCTTTCTCATTACTGAAACTCCAGAGCTTAGAATTGTCTTCTTTCAACCAGTTCACTACCACCACAGAATCTCCCTCTACAATCAGCTTCTTGACCTTTAGTTCTTTAGCCCTTTGTACCCCTTCCAAGGCTGCTAACACCTCAACCCTCAATGAATCCCCCACTCCAATTGAGCTAGAGAACATAGTTGTTATATTACCATTCTCATCTCGTAAAACCCCCCCAATACCCGAAGGCCTTGGATTCCCCATGCTACTACCATCAAAATTAATTTGATAAATCCAGGAAGAGGAGGATTCCATGTAATATTCAGGGTATTCTTAGCCGAGACTGAATTTGCAATTTCTTTCAATTTCCTTAACATATCATCTGTTGAAAAATATGTGAACTCATCCATTGTCTTCAACCAGTGTATTACCCTTATATGGATCACTTCCAACATATTTTCCAACCCTTTCTCCTTTTCTGAGAAAATCCTTGAATTCATTTCTTCCCATATTGTCCAGCAAGCAGTAGCTCTCACACACCTCCACATGATCCTTGATCTTTTTGTTGGGCAGTTAATAGAGGAAGAGGTAAACAAGCTTTGCACATTCGTTGGGGGAGTCCACCTGCACCCAAACAAAGAAGCAAACCATTCCTAACAGCTCTACAGAGAATACACCAGTGTGGAGAGAAACAACTATTGGGCCTTTTTCTTTGAAGTAAGTCACCTGTGTTAATTTTTTCCAGAAAAGCTTCCCAACAGAAACTCCCAACCCTCGGAGGTATAGGTCAACACCACACATCCTTGACAGGGAATGACAAGCCAATAGGACTTTCTAGATGCAATAGGGCTTTAAAGAAGGAGGCACAAGTAAAGGATCCAGAAAGAGACAAGGTCCAGATCCTACTATCTGTTTTTGTCGGCTCCGAGAAGACCCCATCAAGAATGGACAGGAGGTTAGAGGTACAATTCAGTTGTGTCCCTAAGGGCTCTTCTCAAACCCAAGTTCCACCCAAACCCAGAATTTGAATTTGAGGGAACAAGGAAAGTGGCAATTGGTTCATTTTTGAAGGTGGAGTTTGCAAAAAGGGCCGAAAATTGGTCTTTCAACGAAAGATCCCCAATCCACACATGTTCCCCAAACTTAATTGAGTTACCTAAGTGCAAATCATACCTGATCCAAGGAGAGAATAGAGGCAAAATAACATGGATTGATTTCCATGGTGATGCTCTTGTTGCCATAGCCATAATCCCAGAGTCCCATCCATTCACTGCAAGCCCGTGAATACTGCCAATTATCTTAGCCCACAAATTTTCCTTTTCCAATGAGAATCTCCACAGCCATTTCCCTAGTAGTGCCAAGTTCCTCTTCCTAATATT